TATAAAGGTATTTTTTTTTCAACATGATAAGAAGTATTGGAAGTGAAGGCAAATTTTTCCCCATAGATTTACTACATTTACAAGTTGTACATAGATGCATGAACCAAGAATCTTTTAAGAATTTATGTACAATCATGTAGAATTTAAATAAGACTGTTCAAAGTGTAAATCTTGCAGAATATATGATCATAAATTTATCATATGAAAAACACATGAAAGTTTACATACTTTTAACATAATAATGAAAATATATTCATATGAAAAACATGTGATAACCATGAGTTTAACATATGTTTGTTGACACATGTTTTTTATATGGTCCTGTTTAACATATGTTAATCTTACATATGAAAAACATATGTTCTTAAACACATGTTCAAAACACATGAAACACATGTGTTTTACATATGGAAAACATATGGGGTATCAAACATAGAGCAAACATGTGGTGCATATTTACCTGTGTTATAAAATCAGTTTCTTTTTGCTGTTACAAGACATAATACTATTAAATTTATTCAAGGAAGGCCATGATATGTTACCAAGGTATTTCTGGTGAATTTGAGATGTTCGTGAAGTTGGCAGCCTAGCAGCCTAGCAGCCCAGCAGCCTGAAGTTGGCAGCCTAGCAGCCTAGCAGCCTGGCAGCCTAGCAGCCTAAAGAAAACTAAGAATAGTACAAACATGAAATCATCGGATATGAATCGGAAGCACATACTTAGACCATTGCATTTCTTATTTCAGTATCGCGATCTTTATTTTTTTAAATATTGAACTTTGTTTTTTTTTTATTTTGATGCTTCGAAATTTGTGAAGTTAGCAGCCTAGCAGCCTAGCAGCCTTAAGAAAACTAAGGAAAATACAAACATGTAAACCGTCGGAAATGAGTCGGTAGCACATTCTTAGACTATTCCACGTCTTTTTTCAGTATCGCGAACTTTATTTTTTTTAATATTGAACTTTGTTTTTTTTACTCTTTGAAATTTGTGAAGTTAGCAGCCTAGCAGCCTGGCATCCTAGCAGCCTAGCAGAAAACTAAGGATAATACAAACGAAATGAGTCGGTAGCACATACTTAGACCATTTCACGTTTTATTTCAGTATCGCGATCTTTATTTTTTTAAATATTGAATTTTATTTTATTTTTCATTCTGACTATTTCCGACGGTTTCCATGTTTGTATTATCCTTTGTTTTCTTTAGGCTGCTAGGCTGCTAGGCTGCCAGGCTGCTAGGCTGCCAGGCTGTTAGGCTGCTAGGCTGCTAACTTGCCTGGTTTAATGAAAAGTTATAAACCTGAGAATTGAAACTAGAATAAATAGTTGTTATTAGTCCCCTTCTGTTATCACCAAGAGGGGACTAATAACAACAATTTATTCTAGTTTCAATTCTCAGGTTTATTTCTTTTCATTAAACCAGGCAAGCTAAGATACATGTTATAACTTATGAAGTATGCTTGCTCTGAATGTATTTACACAACATTGCTAAACATTACACAATATTTTAATAAATTTTGGAATGTGCAGTCATATGTTACACAAGTCCCAGGAGCTTCAATTCATGGAAACTTTTGGGGAAAACAGTCAAAATATCACATTTAATTTTATCACTGCTGGGGTAAGTGTCATGGTTTTGTTTGAAGCTTAAACAACTAGATTTAACATTTTCCTTCAACACAATGTTCTTGACAGATGTTCGTGAAGTTGGCAGCGTAGCAGCCTGAAGTTGGCAGCTAGCAGCCGAGCAGCCTGGCAGCCTAGCAGCCTAAAAAAAACTAAGAATAGTACAAACATGAAAACCGTCGGAAATACATTAGTAGCACTTCTTTAGATCATTACACGCCTTTTTCAATATCGTGATCTTTATTTTTTAAGATGTTGAACTTTATCGTAACATATTTTTTTCATTCTGACGCTTCGAAATTTGTGAAGTTAGCAGCCTTGCAGGATAGTACAAACATGAAAACCGTCGGAAAAGAATCGTTAGACAATACTTAGACCATTCCACGTCTCATTTCAGTATCGCGTACTTTATTTTTTTTAAATACCGGGTAATTAACTTTTTTATTTTGACACTTCGAAATTTGTGAAGTTAGCAGCCTAACAGCCTGGCAGCCTAGCAGCCTAGCAGCCTAAAGAAAACAAAGGATAATACAAACATGAAAACCGTCGAAAATTAGTCGGTAGCACATACTTAGACTATTCCACGTCTTTTTTCAGTATCGCGGCTATTGATCAAATGGGTATTGTTCTTAAGTTTCAGATAATCTTTATGTTCATTAATGTGTTCGTTTAAACATATGCATTGTATATCTCTTTACATTTCAACTGATTTATCTTTACAGACCTAAAATAAAATATGCGTTGAACATCGTCAACTTCATTATAAACATATACATACAAAATAGCATATCATAAATAAGTCACATGACGTCGCTAATTGTCCATAGACAGCGACATTATTAGCCGCGAAAATGTTAAGATTAAGACTACTTCCTACGTTATTCGAAAACATGTTTAATCCCGCAAATTTCGAAGCGTCAGAATGAAAAATAAAATAAAATTCAATATTTAAAAAAATAAAGATCGCGATACTGAAATAAAACGTGGAATGGTCTAAGTATGTGCTACCGACTCATTTCGTTTGTATTATCCTTAGTTTTCTTTAGGCTGCTATGCTGCAAGGCTGCTAACTTCACAAATTTCGAAGAGTAAAAAAAAACAAAATTCAATATTAAAAAAAATAAAGTTCGCGTTACTGAAAAAAGACGTGGAATAGTCTAAGTATGTGCTACCGACTCATTTCCGACGGTTTACATGTTTGTATTTTCCTTAGTTTTCTTTAGGCTGCCAGGCTGCTAGGTTGCTAACTTCACAAATTTCGAAGCGTCAAAATAAAAAAAAACAAAGTTCAATATTTAAAAAAATAAAGATCGCGATACTGAAATAGGACGTGCAATGGTCTAAGTATGTGCTTCCGATTCATATTCGACGATTTCATGTTTGTACTATTCTTAGTTTTCTTTAGGCTGCTAGGCTGTCAGGCTGCTAGGCTGCCAGGCTGCTAGGCAGCTAGGCTGCCAACTTCAGGCTGCTGGGCTGCTAGGCTGCTAGGCTGCCAACTTCACGAACATGAATTTGAGAGCATTTTGTACAACATAGGAGAAAATGATATTCCGTTTCTGTTACATTTTGATTACTCATTTTACATAGACGATTTTCTCTATCTAATCTACTATATATGCCTAGTTCTACCTCTAAATGGTGTGATCAAAGTCTCACACATGTAAATTGTTTCTATGCATATCATTAGTTATCTTATCTAAATAAGTTTCATAGCTAAATGTTGTTTTAAATTGTCTGTAAAAATCTAATTTAGATATATTATTTGACGATGTATTCTTGCATAACAGACTGGCGTTTCCGTTAGTTTTACCCATGCCGGAAATTTCATCTGGCATGGGGGGTTCCAGATGAGTCGCGTGCTGTACAATGGCACGATAAAGATGACGTCATTTTACCGTTATGAATGATTTTGTAATTCATACGCTGTTGAATGAAAGTAGTTACGGTTGTAATGATATAAATTTTCATTGAAAATAAAGATAAAGAATTTAAAATATAATGGAATAGGTAGAATATGCAAGAAAAAATATCTGACATATGTTTGCGGTTCGGATCGGAATATCCGTCCCTCGGTCACCCGCCCATGGGCGGTAACTCGGCAAGCCTCGTTACCGCCCAATGGGCGGGTCACCTCGGGACGGATATTCCGATCCGAACCGCAAAATATGACAGATATTATTATTCCATTCTTGTATAAATTGATCACGTAATGTTCTTTTTAACAAAGGTAAATAGTTCATACTTGTATCGAAGTTAAGTCTTTATATGCGAAAATCCAAGGTGATCTACGACTTGCCCAACAAGAAATATTTACATTGTTGCATTGGTCAATATAAGCATAAAAATAGGCATGTATACAAAATTCTTAAATTTCAGTGCTCTCTCTTTTACAACAATAGACAATGGAAATGTCCCTAATTCCCCATAAATTGCCATAGTTGGTGTCTGTTTACGTACTCTTAACAAATATTTTAAAAATCTTATATGGAGTTTATATGATAAACACCCCAAATTTCCGATCCATATAGCAAAATAGGTACAACTATAGAATTAAAAAGTTGTAATTTGGTTTTGATATCTAATTTAACTCTATCAAAAATAAACATCAAATTATGGTATGCTTTGATTTCCAGTGTATGAGAATTTAATTTAACACCTAGATATGTGAAATTATCCACAATTTCAATATTTTCACTATTTATTTAAAAAGCGAGTGATGTTATGCAATAAAACCGATTAGCCAACTTTTGAAGTCTCCCTCACGAGAGGTAAAGTTGAGTAAACAAAACGAATACCACTATGCACATTGTGAGTTACTTACCGTTAGTCTTCTCAAGCGTTACTTGAGGCGACCTTTCGTGAGTTAGAGTCGAGATTGAGATTTAGCATCTTTTCTGAATACGGGCCATAGCCCCTGCACACTTACAATTTACAGATGGACATAATGTCACCTTAAACCCTAAGTTTTCATAACCCACTTTTTTGTAAAAAAAATCAGACATTAAAAAATTATAAATTGAAATTTTATGTTTATTTAAATACTTATTTCTGTTTATCATGCCATAAAACAGTTATAATATATCGAACTCGACTATTATGTAGAAATATCATGACCTGGGGCGGCATCTCGGGTTTTCCTTACAGACAATGTTCTCGGCCCATAAAGAAAAACCTTCGATGTGCACCAGGCCATGATATTTCCACATAACAGTCGTCGCTATAACTATAACTTGTGGAATATTAAAGTGATAGATATTTTTATGAATGTAAACATTATTATAGAAACATATTATATGACACAATAGCTTTACAAAGTTCAGTACTTACAGATGAAATTTGATCATCGATTTTACGTAGCTTTGTATATTATCAAGACAGACAATTTATCTTAAAGGCTTTTAAAAATGAGGTTATGACAAAAATAGGATTTCTTATCAGACGTACATATAATTTCTGGCATTTATATTAAAAATGGATCGCTACATTCAGATAGTTCTATTATTTGAGATTTTATTTAAAGTTTCGGCAGGTATTATCATTTTATTGCCAAAGGTGTTTTGTAGAAATTTTACATGCATAAATATAAATGTATATATAATACCTTGGTACGGTTGATTTTGTTGTTGTTGTTGTTGTTGAGTATTGTTCAGTTACAAAAATACTTCTGTACTATAATTATGAAGAAATTAACTTAACATAAACTGTGTCTGTCGGATTTTGGACTTGTACTATATGTTAATAAATAAGTGATTTGATATTGGCCTGGTTATTTGTCCGAGGGCAGTCGTATTGGCCGAAGGCCGAAGGCCAAGGGCCAATACGAATGACCAGCGGACAAATAACAGGGCCAATATCAAATCGCTTATTTATTGACAATTTTATTAAATAACTACATGTACTTATAATATTTCACATTTAATCCTCGGCTATTTCTTCATATTTTAATTCTAACATAATTATTTTAATTATAACAAAGAACAACTGTAAAAATAACTAAATTATATCAGTTTGTTTGGAAAACCTTCATTTTGTAACTTATATTGTACATGTACAACAAAATGTCAGACTGTGATTGTTTACAAACTGAGAATATTTTGTTATGCAAACTGTCGGCGTCTACACATAGACCGAGTTAAAACAAAATGGCTGCCATTTCCCAGTTTCTTGCAGAAATCTGTATCATTTTTTGGCCCTGCTTTATTAGCCAATCAAATTACTTCAAATGCGGACTTTATATCTATATCACTTTTCGGCTCGGGGCCGAAAAAATGATATTGATATTGGCACTATTTTAAGGCAGGCCATCGTGTTATTGAACGTGGCAGGTGCTTTTTTTATAGGACTAATAACGTATAGTTATTTAATAAATATCTGTAAAACATATATTATACTAAGCTTATTTTATACCATGTGTGGTGCGGGTTTTTAAATCGGGATGGGGTAGGTAGGAGGTTGGACGTACGTTTGGTTTCCGAGTCCATGATATTTTTTAAAATAGATTTCTTATTCAGAGTTCTATTATTTGAGATTTTATTTAAAGTTTCGGCAGGTATTATCATTTTATTGCCAAAGGTGTTTTGTAGAAATTTTACATGCATAAATATAAAATGTATATATAATACCTTGGTACGGTTTGATTTTTGTTGTTGTTGTTGTTTGAGGTATTGTTCAGTTACCAAAAATACTTCTGTACTATAATTATGAAGAAATTAACTTAACATAAACTGTGTCTGTCGGATTTTGACTTGTACTATATGTTATAAATAAGTGATTTGATATTGGCCTGGTTATTTGTCCGAGGCAGTCGTATTGGCCGAAAGGCCGAAGGCCAAGGGCCAATACGAATGACCAGCGGACAAATAACAGGGCCAATATCAAATCGCTTATTTATTGACAATTTTATTAAATAACTACATGTACTTATAATATTTCACATTTAATCCTCGGCTATTTCTTCATATTTTAATTCTAACATAATTATTTTAATTATAACAAAGAACAACTGTAAAAATAACTACATTATATCAGTTTGTTTGGAAAACCTTCATTTTGTAACTTATATTGTACATGTACAACAAAATGTCAGACTGTGATTGTTTACAAACTGAGAATATTTTGTTATGCAACCTGTCGGCGTCTACACATAGACCGAGTTAAAACAAAATGGCTGCCATTTCCCAGTTTCTTGCAGAAATCTGTATCATTTTTTGGCCTTGCGTTATTAGCCAATCAAATTACTTCAAATGCGGACTTTATATCTATATCACTTTTCGGCTCGGGGCCGAAAAAAATGATATTGATATTGGCACGATTTTAAGGCAGGCCATCGTGTTATTGAACGTGGCAGGTGCTTTTTTTATAGGACTAATAACGTATAGTTATTTAATAAATATCTGTAAAACATAATATTATACTAAGCTTGCATCAATTATAGATTTTACAGACATCTACTCCAATAGAAATCATCGTTTATCTCATAACTTTTTTCAATTCACACCACCAATTCTTAGGTAGAAAACACAATAAATAAATATACCGGTATATCTAGACTGAATATAGAATTAAAGCATATCGACGTTAAAATTGCTGCGGGGCTTCAATGACTGGGTGATAATGCTTCCCGACTTCAAATAACGTGACTCTCACCACCGTGTGTTCGAATCTCAACATGAACTTTATATATTCTTTCTTGTGAAGAAGCTGTCCAGCTACTCAGGTGCCAGCTCGTGTCCGAAATGATGCATGGAGGAGCACTTGGTGTGTTCCTGCAGCAGTAAAGCTACAAAGTTGCAGGACACGGAGGGACACCAGTAGTTTTCCTGCAGAAAAAAAGTTCGTTAAGTCGCAATGCACGGAGATGTACCTTAGGGTTTCCTCCAAAGTCGCAATGTATGGAAGCGCGTCCGTGGTCTTCCTCCAACAGTTATAAAGCTAAAGGTTCGCCTTATGACATTGACAGTGTTTGTATGACTTTATGCACAACGAAAAATATCTTCCACCCAACTAATTGATGTTGATGGGAACTTGGTTCTACCATTGATAATTCGCACGCATTTGTATCAGTGCATCCTAACATTTCTGTACGAAAAAGTACATATTTAAATGAGAACACGCCTAATACCCGTGTCTCTTCCACAATCCGACACGTTTGACCTTTCTGTACAATGCCAATCAATCAATATTACTAACAGATTTTAATATTTATGCAACAGCCTTGGACTGTCCATCTGGTTGGATGAGCCATGATACTAGTTGCTACCATTTTAGCCACGACCTAGAATCATGGATAAATGCTCAGGTAAATTTTATATATGTTTACTTCACTAATAGAATATTATGCTATGAAATATGGGTGTTGGGAGGTCACCGTAAGAAGATTGGTAAATTAATTCATGTCAAAATGAAATATGGAAATATTCGTCCCGATGGTATCCGCCCACTAGCCGGTTACAAGACTTACCGAGTTACCGCCCAGTGGCAGGTAGTTTCAGGGCATTATGCGGATATTGAAGAAAATGCCGACACTGCGCAAGTGTTTGATAGATAAATATTCGTCGATATTCTAAAAGAATAAAAGGGTTACAATTTTAAAGTTACATACTTAAGAATGAATTGGTTGTCTCCAATACTTACAAATATATCAAATTTCATTTCATGAGTATCATACATGTATTAAAAAGATAATTTCTGCAATGTAAGCTAGATGAAGTTAAGTATTAGAAAATTTCTATTCTTTGTTTTAGATGATATGTCAAGGTTTTGGAGGCAACCTCGCTGAAATTGAAAATGAGAAGGAGAACAGTTTCCTTGCCAACGAAGTAAAGCTGCTGAAAGGTAAAATATTTATAAAATTAAAATATATTTTGTGCATTATATGTCATCATGGAATTCGTGTCCTAAAATTACCGCTTCCAGTGTTCATAACCAATCATACGTTTTGTTCTTTATCGAAGAAAATCAAGACATGATAAATCTAGCATAATAAATGATAAGTAAAAAGCTCATAATTATAGCTTCATCACAACATTCGAGGTCAACAACTGAATTATTTATGCAATGCTTAAGTATGTCAATGTAATCGATATTGTAAAAAAAAACGTTTACACCATTCTTTGTTTGGTTGGGTTAAAGTTGCACGACCATAAGGCTAATTTCAAGCTTTACTGGTGGAACAACACTCCATGTGCACTTCCTGCATTATTTTAGGCATACACGGACACCTGAGTAGAACCACACACGGACACCTGAGTAGAACCACCAACTGACCTTCCGTAAGCTAGCTGGATAGCTTACTCACGTGTAAAAAATCTATAGACCCCGATGGGAGTCGAACCGGCAATGTTGAGGTGCTAGTGGTTTGAAGTCGGTGATCTTAACCACTTGACCACGGATATGCTTTGTTTGTACTCAAATATAAACGATATCATGGGATATGACGTGCTACAAAAAAAGACATTTTTTTATAAAGTCCGTCTTATCTGTAATTTAACAAATACAGAACCTTTACAGAACTACACCAATTGGGAGATAAAAAGTTGTTCCTCTACAGAGATTAAAATGATTGTGAAGTACGACTTAGTTGGGAAGAATTGATACAGTAACTGTTGTTTTAAACAGGTTACTGTGCTAAAGATGGTCGTTGTTACACTGTATAATACTTTTTTTGTTAATATTAGAAGTCTTTTATCGTTCTTTTTATAGGAACTCCACTTAGATCAAAAGCCTAAAAACATAAAAAATTGATTTTGTTAATAAATCAACTAGGACACTTAAAACCGAAAGGTATGCAAAAATAATAAAGAAAAATACATAGAATCGTATTTTTGACGATTTATAGTCACGATTAAGTTAAAATCGTTTAAACGCTTTTCAGATAGGTTTTCCCAATTCAAAAGTTTTTCTGCAAAAAAAAGGAATGAGCAACTGATTTTTGCGCACAAGTTATTGGTCATGACTTTCATCAAAAGTATTTATGTATCTCGTAAAAATATTTCCAGACCCATCATTTAAAAATCCTCGATAAAGTCTCTTTAGGTATCGTCTTTTTGAATGACGTGATAAAAGTAACTACGGACTTTTCACTTATTTTTTCTAGGAAGTTACTGGGTAGGTGGCAATGATCTGGCAAACGAAGGTGAGTGGAAATGGTGGCATTCTAATGAGGATTTCAGTTACACAGACTGGTTACCAGGGGAACCAAATAACTATGGAAGCAAAGAAAATTGTGTTGATTTCAGAACTGTTGGTACGACCTCACACCAGTCTACCGGATGGTGGGATGATCAGTGTCAGAAATCAAAACTTTACATCTGTGAAAAAACTGGGTACGATAGTTATTAAGCAATATGAGTTTCTACGTCCAATATTCATCGGAAATGGTTTTATGTCTATTTCTCAAATGCTTTTTATTTTTGGTATTCTGTAATTGTATCCAAAGCGTTATTCATTGGCCAATTATCTGATCTATCTTTTGTTTCTGTTTCTTTCATTACATTTTTTTGCTGAAGTAAAAATACTAATTGTACTTTGTATACATTTTGCTTCTATTTGTATTATGACAAATACATTCACTTTCAGTGCTACTTTTTTTCAGGTAATAGCATCTAACGTGCTTTTAAACCATTATTCAAACGTTATAAAACTCATGTTTTGTTCTTTCTAACGAAGACAAAAAGTCATATCTGAGGCACAATGTGTCTTTAAAGTAGACCGTGCATGGATATTAATAGTAAAATACAACTGACAAATAATTAATATGATATTGTTAGTTATATCTGTCGATAACAACTGTAGGGTGAGTAATGGAAACATATTGCTCTATTGCACCATCCATATGATTACTTTTGACTATAGTTGATAAAGTCAAGGGAAATAATTCGGAAGACCTTGAAACATAAACGAGTACGCCCCTTAACAAGTAATTACTTCAAGTGTAAAACATGAAGAAATTAAGTATTAAACTACTGTATTACCCTTATTACTCGTATAAACACCAGCAATGCATACCGAAATGTTACAGTGAAAAATAATATTAACGTCTTTTTCTTTTACGCAGGGCAATAAGCGAAATCATTGGCTGAACTAACTGCCGCACAATCTGAAATTTGTGAGGCATTTGTACAATTTTTTGTGATTAAAGATTAAAAGGGAAGAAAATACACTTGTTTCCTTTTATTTTCTATTCAACCTTCCGTTCTAATTTAAACCGCTTAAATACACCAGCTTCTAATCTTCAAACGGACTTCACATGTGTACAACAGCTTAATGAATGACAGGAAGATCAGCGACTTTTTGCTTCGTATGCAGCTGATAATTTTCCGCTTTTTAGAAGATGACCATTGTGATACGGTTGATTCAATACTTACATGTTTCATCATAATCCTCCCCCTTCTCATCACTTTTATTTAATGCCGTCAGAAAACCGTATCTTATTCATTACATTACCACGGGAGTGGAACTGAACACTACACGAAGGATGGAGTTCTTATGATAACTTGTCAGGAGTTCTTATGATAACTGTCACGGAGTTCGTCGGAAAAGTTTTATATAATTATACTACAAAAACACTCGTCAAAAATGGTATTTTCATCTTAAGAAAGTGAGATTTGGGTGCTAACATGCCTTACATATTGTATAATGTGTCCAAAACTAATTTATAGGCCATTTTTCATCGCACCTTGCATACAATCTGGTAGTTTTGAGTAAAATTTCTATTATTTGCCATTTCGCATGTATTGACCTGTTTATTTCTGGTCTTCATCTTTGCCGTATATAATTACCTTATTATAAAACAAAATTGCAAACATAAAGCCCCGGCTAACAAATTTATACCCGATTTTTCAATGTCCTGGAGTTCTTGTGATAACTCTGACGATGTACTGCCAGCGTGTTTCTTGCGCTTAATTAATATTACGACACGTTTTAACGTTTTTATTTAATAGATGATATATCCCAAACTGTGATTTTATCGCTCAATAAAATCACTGTTTGGAGTTCGGATGCAAGGAATTATATCACGAGGGCGTATTCCGAGTGATATAATGATGCGTATCTGAACGACAAACAGTGATTTTATCAAACGATAAATCACTGGTTTGGATATAATTATCTTATCATTTCGATTATAACATGACATCATCAAATAAATTCTGGCGTACCTGATATTAAGCTTAATTGCGCCTGATTTGTTTCCGTACTTCTTAATATAGAACATCAATCCAACAGTGATTTTATTGCATAATAACACACACTTTCGGTTCTTCTATGTTCAATAGGGAAAAATGCGAGTCGTGTTACGCAATACAAATACACGAAAAAAATTGAATGAATGAGCTATTTTGAAAATGGCGGCCTTCTTGAATGAGCAGAGATATTTTTGGGCCCACTTCATTTGTTAAATCTACATGGTCTAAAGATGTTTTCCTGAAAGTTTCATCCTTGTATAACCATTTGCACTATTTTCTCAATTCCCCGCCCCACTACGTCAGGAGTTAAATCGTATACAGTCGAGACTGCCTTAGCGACCCCCTGATTTTAACGACTACCTGTCTTATCCGACCTTGTTTCAGTCCTCCCAACGTATTTTCCTATATAAATGGTCTGAATTAAACGACTCCCTGTCATATGTGACAAGCGACCCTAATTATCTGGTCCCAATGCATTGCTTTGTCTGATTTAAACGACTTTCACACCTTTTAATTGTCCGTTAATCAGATAAATAATACCTGTTTTAACACACAGAGAGACAAAATAATTAAGTCCAATTATAATCCAGTAGTCAGTACTCTTCAAAACAAACTCTACACACCTCTGATTACATGTACATATGCAGGTGTCAAGTGACGTAGCGTCTGGAGTGTCCGTAGCGTCTGATGCAATCGATTTGTGTTAACAAATTGAGGTCACAGGTGTAATGAACTGAGTAAACTGGATTAAAAAATTATGGTGTTCCAACGGATGATTTTTTTAGGCAGAATATTTTTGTTACTTTACCTTTCTATGGCTGCCATAGGTAATCGGCGCGTTGATTGGTCACTACCCCCGCACCCACTCCCCCTCACCCCCACACCCACTCTACAGCCCTCCTACCTCTCAAAACCATGTAAAATACAGTATTTTTCATTTGAAACATGTTTTAATATTTGGTTTATGCTTTTAATTCAATAACCTTCATTTCCTACAAAAAATAAAAAATTGATACATATATATTTAGTAAAGGTATGCAACTCGCCGCTCAATTTTCAGCACTCATCTTAATATGAACTCCATAACTTCAACATTTTTTTACCAATTTTCAATATTTTGGTACCAAATGGTAGCGAATTGATTACTCTTAAAGGAATTAAAGTTGTCATTACAATCAGTTCAAGTTATAAGAAGATATGTAATCTCGAAGTCACCGCAAGTGTAACTCGACAGTGATCTGACCGCTGGGTTTTCTTCAAAATTACCCGACTAAACGGCAGTTTATTCGAAATGAATGCATATTTCATTGTATTGCGCATATAAATATGATCAAATTATATTATTATTTGTAATAACTGTTCAATCAAAACAGCTTATAAAACTATAAAACAAACCTTTTTCCGATATGCCAAATTCTCCAATCCAAAATGAAAGTACACATGTATAAACGGAAGCATTCGTATGGAGTATTTTCATTGGTCGTATGAAAACCTTAGACCAATGAAAATACTCCGTACAAAAAATGAAGGGGAGAGCACTCTGTAGAACTATTACTTGCATTATAATTTGGAATTTAACATACAGGAAAAAAGGTTTGTTATAGTTTTATAAGATGTTTTGATTGAACAGTTATTACAAATAATAATATAATTTGATCATATTTATATGCGCAATACAATGAAATATGCATTCATTTCGAATAAACTGCCGTTTAGTCGGGTAATTTTGAAGAAAACCCAGCGGTCAGATCACTGTCGAGTTACACTTGCGGTGACTTCGAGATTACATATCTTCTTATAACTTGAACTGATTGTAATGACAACTTTAATTCCTTTAAGAGTAATCAATTCGCTACCATTTGGTACCAAAATATTGAAAATTGGTAAAAAAATGTTGAAGTTATGGAGTTCATATTAAGATGAGTGCTGAAAATTGAGCGCGAGTTGCATACCTTTACTAAATATATATGTATCAATTTTTTATTTTTTGTAGGAATTGAAGGTATTGAATTAAAAGCATAAACCAAATATTAAAACATGTTTCAAAATGAAAATACTGTATTTTACATGGTTTTGAGAGGTAGGAGGGCTGTAGAGTGGGTGTGGGGGTGAGGGGGAGGGGTGTGCGGGGGTAGTGACCAATCAACGCGCCGATTACCTATGATGGCTGCATGGATAATACGGACAAATGTTGATACCAGACTAATATGGATATGTTTTTAAAAGTATGATATTTATTTATGCATCAAATTCAAGTTAATTTTGTACCATAATGATTCAATATTAAACTAATACAAAAAAATAAAATAAAATTTTATATGATATACATACTATTATATTTGCTTTACAGGGATTCTTATTTTATTTACATAAAATATTTAAAGTACCTATGTGTATTTGCAATTGGTTAGATATTATTCCTTCACACAGTTGAACAGTATATATGTTAAGTCACAATGATATATAGACAGATAGATTGTATTTAAATTTAAATTTTCTATGAGACTGTATTAAGAGACTCCCTGTCATATGTGACCTTTTTCTCAAGATCCCTTGGAGAAAGGGACTGTATTCATAAATGACGCATTAACTTGACAATATCTGCAGTCCAGTTATCAAACTGTCTATGGGGATATAAATAGAGCATGCTCGTTGATTGGCTTCATTTTTTCTGGGATTAACTTATCATGTTAGAGAAAGGGATAATGATAGAGGATCATATTCAGGTCCTCGTTCATTGGTTCATTAATTCTCGGGTTTCATATTGTGGCGACAGTGAAAATGTTTTACTTTTGAATCTATGATACAAAAGAGAAAGAACATCGAAGCACTTGGATACGCCCCCTTGTACAAATCAGATCTTCTTTAACATATTTTATATCTCTGATACGTATGAACGATCAGTGTATATAAGTTTGATATAACATTTGAAAGTCATTTACTTCTCACTTCCCCTCGGAGCGCGCACGTCGCTGAGAAGGCACAGGGCATCGGCAGAAGATTTACAACTTGGCTGGTAGACAACTTAAATTTTGCCTTCAACCGTGGGCGGTAACTACGGAACTCCTACTTCGTCACTTCTGCGGACCAGCTGCCGATGTCCTGACTAATGCCGAGGGGAGTGGCCCTACAAAGTAGGCTGAGACGACGAGGATGGTGTACTAGGGTGCGTGAGCCCCTAGTACAGATAGACGGCTTGTAAGGCAGGCCTATAGCTGGCACCAACAGCCCTTTTCAGGGGTAAAAACACCTTTCCTATTGTCACAGGTTACTGTACATTTAGGTTCTCATTGACCGCCGTACAGTGACCTACTTTTCGGCTCAAAATTCATATCTTTGGCTAATACTCCGTGGAAATTGCATGGAGGTAAATTATCACCATTTTGTGCTTCAAAATTAACTCTTTAAGGACATGACTGGTGACATGTCCGGGGTCCGTACTCGACAGCGCAAGCTGCATTTCGTGCCCGAAAGGGCGGATGGACCCTCATTAAGCTTTAACTTACATACATACATGAAAGTCATTTAACAACATTGGCGTTTCAGGTAAAGCCTTCGTGTACGATCAGATAAAATGAAGATAATTTTGGTTGTCATTCTGCTCGTCTTTGGACTTTCAGCATGCGCAAAGGCAGACAACTCAATAGAAAACGATTTTGACGAGTTGGATAATCTCGTGAGTGATGTTAAGGAAAGGATACAATCTTTGAGAAAAAAAGTCAAAGGTTTGGTTTATCGTTCAACTTGTAATTAAAAAAAGTAAAAAACAGAAATAGGGAGACGAAACATTTATATTTTTATAAAATTCATTTTTTAATTCTAAATATTTCCTTTCATAATTTTGTACACAAAATTCATGCATACAGACAAAATCAATAAATATATAAAATTTATAAATATTATTTATTTCACATTTTCTTACAACAAAATGTATTGAATATTGATTTTTTTCCTTATTAACAGAGGAATTGCGATCAAAATGTGGAAAAAACAAATGTTCTAAAAAATCATGTGGGGATGGCTGGGTCTCTTACAACGGAAATTGTTACTTCTTTGATAATGCTCAAGCATGCAATTATGAAGAAGCAAGGGTGCGTAAACATTGTTTTCTTATGATTGTTAAAGAAGGAAAAGTTTTCAATCAAGTTCTACATTTATTCCTCCAGCAAAAAACATTGTTTTAGTGCATTTCTTCCAATTTGGCTATAATTTACTTACCGTTCTATAATTGGGACAATCATAATGCATATCAAATCGAGAAAGAATTAAAGGAAGAACTAAACTATTAAATCAATAGCCATATATGAAATTAATAAAGACAGGACAATATTTAAAAAAAAAATTAAAAAGAAAAAAACGTTTTCTTTGTATTGCAAATTTGATTACATTTACTTTATATGCATACTCCAAATGTAGCGATTGAATATGATATATAATTTATACCAAATCATTTTTGTTAGGCATTCTGCAAACAAAGAGAGTCTGTATTGTTGTATGTACAAGATGAAGCAGAAAATGCGTTTATAGTCGGAATGCTGGGCCGCTTGAAATGTAAGTTGATCGTTTAATTGGCATTAAGCAAAATAGAAAAATATGTATAAAATGCTATATTATAACTATTCCGTTCACGGATGTATAATATTGTATTTTAACTATAACGTTCACGAATGTATTAAGCTATATAATAACTATTCCGTTAATGGCTGTATAAAGATGTTTTATAACAATTCTGTTCACGAATGTATATAGCTGTATAATAACTTTTCCGTTAACCGTTAACGTACGAAAGCCTGATAGTGTCAAATGAAATAAAAAATAAAAATACAAAGGCGTTATAACGCGAATAAAGGCGTTATAACGCGAATCAAAAGGCGTAATTATGCAAATCAAAAGGCGTAATAACGCGAAAAAAAGCGTAGCAACGCAAATAAAGGCGTAGTAACGCGAATAAAGGCGTTATAACGCGAATCAAAAGGCGTAATAACGCGAATCAAAAGGCGTAATAACGCGAATAAAGGCGTAATAACGCAAATTAAAAGGCGTAGTAACGCGAATAAAGGCGTTATAACGCGAAATGAAAGGCGTTATAACGCAAATTAAAAGGCGTAGTAACGCGAATAAAGGCGTTGTAACGCGAACCAAAAGGCGTACTAACGCCAATTAGAACGAATTATAATGCCAATTTAATACCATATTTATACTAATCAAATGGCCTGGTAACGTAAGAAAGCAAGACTAATATTGATCTGAATTTATTCCTCAAGATATAAACTCGATCGTATAGAATAATATAATATATATTTACAATAACTAACATTCCATTTGCGCAGTAATAATGCAAACTATTTGTCATAAACTAATGAAGACTCTTTGATATTTGCCAATTTAAGGTGTCTGTGTGCCTTATAGGTCCATTGGACTGGACGTAAATACAGTTAATCTGAATTCACATGTATCATATATTTGCTTTTGCACATGTCACTATTAGTAAATGAATTTTCTTTTCTTATCTTATCTTATCTTATCTTATCTTTATGTGCGTCATATGTTCAATTATCTTTCGGATATATCCTATTTGATTACCTTATAACATCTAGTATCTTCTAATTATGTGAAATGCCATTCCTAATTAAGCTATAGGTAATTATGCTATAGGTAACAAGATTTGGGAAAACGTAAGGTATAAGTTAGTCACATTAGGGGTGATTATTGATAAGTATGTTTAAAATGGGGATAGTGTTTCAGCTAAGTCACAATTATAGGAGACATTCCCTTCTTTGTTCTATGTAGAAAAGTATCTATAGTTGGGTGAAAGTTAACCTTTAATCTGACGAAAGCATTTGCTAAAAAAGATTTAAAAAAAATCAGACTGTGGCCTTAGGACGTATCGTACAGAATTGAAAATAAACTTACGTCTTGATCGACTTATTTAGATCAAATTGTTCTTCCTATCTTACATTTACTAGGCCACGGTTTGGAATTTATATGGTATTAAATTAGCGTTATAACGCCTTTTGTTTTGCGTTATATGCCTTTTTGGTTCGCGTTATTACGCCTTTTTGATTCGCGTTTTAACGCCTTTAATTCACGTTATTACGCCTTTTGATTCGCGTTATAACGCCTTTATTCGCGTTAGTACGCCTTTTGATTCGCGTTATAACGCCTTTATTCGCGTAATTACGCCTTTTGATTCGCGTTAAAACGCGAATAAAGGCGTTACTACGCCTTTTGATTCGCGTTATAACGCCTTTATTCGCGTTATTACGCCTTTTGATTCGCGTTATAACGCCTTTATTCGCGTTATTACGCCTTTTGATTCGCGTTATAACGCCTTTATTCGCGTTGCTACGCCTTTATTCGCGTTATTACGCCTTTTGATTCGTGTTGCTACGCCTTTATTCGCGTTCTTACGCCTTTTGAATCGCGTAATAATGCCTTTATTCGCGTTATAACGCCTTTGCATTTTCATTTTTTATTTCATTTGACACTATAAGGCTTTCGTATATGTTATTCTATACGAGTTTATAGCTTGAGCAATAAATTCAGATCAATATTGTTCTTCCTTTCTCACGTTACTAGGCCATTTGATAAGTATAAGTATGGTATAAAATTGGCATTATAATGCGTTTTGATTTGCGTTATTACGCATTTTGTTTCGCGTTAGTACGCCTTTATTCGCGTTACTACGCCTTTTGATTTGCGTTACTATGCCTTTATTCGCGTTTCTACGCCTTTTTTCGCGTTATTACGCCTTTTGATTTGCGTAATTACGCCTTTTGATTCGCGTAATAATGCCTATTCGCGTTATAACGCCTTTGCATTTTTATTTTTTTATTTTATTTGACACTATTAGGCTTTCGTAAATATAATATACATTTACAATAACTATCATTCCATTTGCGCAGTAATATTGCAAACCATTTGTAATAAACTAATGAAGACTCTATGATATTTGTCAATATAAGGTGACTTGGAGACTTAAAGGTCCATTGGGTTATATGTCAATACAGTTACTCTGAATTCACATCATTGATTTTACACATATCACTATAGTAAATGAATTTCTATTTTTTCTTATATTTTATCTTATTTTATATGTGCGTCATATGTTCAATTATCTACGGATATGTCCTGTATAATTACTTAATAACCTGTAGTATCTTTATGTTCGCGTTATAACGCCTTTTGATTCGCGTTATAACGCCTTTTGTTTCGCGTTATAACGCGAATCGAAAGGTGTTACAACGCGAATTGAAAGGCGTAATAACGCGAATCAAAAGGCGTAATAACGCGGAAAAAGGCGTAGCAACGCAAATAAAGGCGAAGTTACGCGAATAAAGGCGTTATAACGATAAAGGCGTAATAACGCGAATCAAAAGGCGTAATAACGCGAATAAAGGCGTAATAACGATAATTAAAAGGCGTAATAACGCCTTTATTTGCGTTATAACGCGGATCAAAAGGTGTAGTAACGCCTTTATTCGCGTTATAACGCGGAACAAAAGGCGTAATAACGCGAATTGAAAGGCGTTATAACGCGAATCATAAGGCGTTTTAACGCCTTTATTCGCGTTATAACGCGAATCCAAAGGACTAATTACGCGAATCAAAAGGCGTACTTACGCGAATAGAGACGTTATAACGCGAATCAAAAGGCGTAATAACGCGAAAAAGGCGTTATAACACGAATCAAAAGGCGAAGTTACGTGAATAAAGGCATTATAACGCGAATCAAAAGGCGTAATAACGCGAACCAAAAGGCGTTATAACGCTAACTTAATACCATATAAATTCCAAACAGTGGCCTAGCAATGTAAGATAGGAATAACAATGTTGATCTAAATGCATCGATCACGTTTTATTTACAATTCTATACGGATACGTCGTAAGGGGGCAGGGGACCTAAAAATGAAAAATTTTGTATTTCAGTGTGACCAGAAACACAATTCCAAATATTTCAAAATCTGTTTCACAGGCAGATAACCAGTTGCACAGCATTATTCAATGATATATGACATACATTGAAGAAAATAATAGTTTGCATGCATTGCTCCTTCAAAAAATGACTGACAGCAATTTATCTTTACCCGCCGACCCAGCCAAAATCACACCTAAAATATACCCAATATGGGCAATCTTCATGAAGGTGCAGGCATACTCCAGAAATCCGCCGCGATTCCTTTAAAATATCAGTTACACGCAGTGCAAGCTATGGCATTTTCAGAAATGACAAATAAAGTGTCTGTCATACGTTTAGATTTTTCACAAAAATTTATCTGAAATTTCTTACTTGTTTGGCGCCAACTGTCAAAGCTTGATTTTTAACTTTTTTCACCTCCATTCGGAGAAGTCAGAAAATACATACAAAGCTACCAAAATGCTTAGTTTTCGGGTAAAAAACCCAAAAATATATCTCATTTCCTACACACAAACAAGAAAGAATTACAATGACAGAAAAAAAAAATACATCAAGTTATCAGAGTACCTCTTCCAAAAAACACCATGTCTTGAGTGTATTGAAAAAATTTAAACCGGGCGTCCATCATTCGAACTATGCTCCCCTCCCCCTTAAGATTTTTTTATGTTGATTCCCCGCATTAAAGCGTTTTCCTTTTATTTTTCTTAAAAATATGGAGTATTTTTTTTCGCATTAAACGTTTAACTTCGAAAAAGTGAATACTGCCGCGGTCACTTTGTATTTAATCAAATATTTTAAAAAAAGACCCTATTTTCAGGGGAAGTAAACTAGTACAATGACCATTGCCTGTTATATGATTTACTTAATATCAAGTGCCAGGAACCTGTGGAGATGGTTATTTTTTCTGTATTCCACCTTCATTTAATACCATAAAGTATTTTCAGAGTATTTAAAAGGTCTTTTGGAGGGAGATTATAGCAAGAAAAACAATATTACAGCCACAATTTAATGTCCCAAAATGAAATTTTACAGGAAACCCAGACCCCATTTATTCTGGCATACACCTAAAAGTGCAGTAAAAGATACCACTGTTGACTTATATGACATAATATACATTTGTAAACAATTAAAAGGTGCTCAAATTATTGCATTATTATGTCAATTTGCACAATAATAAAACTCGTTAAATCTGGATAAATGTGCACATTCTGTGAAGTACAGTGTTTGCCAAAATTCCAAATTTTTATTACGCTGAGTCCTTGACTTGAACAGTCTACCTTACTCTACATAACTTGATAAAATCCTACCAAGTCACCTTCCAAATTTTGACTAACAAATGTAGAAGGAATGTTTATGGGCACATTTTGGGTCAATTCCAACACATTTTATAAATTTGAAAATTTCCTTAAGGGGGCAAGGCGGGACCTAAAAATGAAAAAATTTTGGTGTATTTCAGTGTGACCAGAAACACAATTCCAAATATTTCAAAATATCTGTTTCACAGGCAGATAACCAGTTGCAACAGCATTATTCAATGATATATGACATACATTGAAAGAAAAATAATAGTTTGCAATGCATTGCTCCTTCAAAAAAAATGACTGACAAGCAATTTATCTTTACCCCCACCCAGCCAAAATCACACCTAAAATATACCAATATGGGCAAATCTTCCATG